GAAAAATAATAAATGAAGAAAAGAATTAGTATCCTCTCCTCTTATTATTCACCTGTCCTTCTGTACTGGCGAATTCATTAGACTTTTCAATAGTACTAGAGGGTTGTTGGCTACACACATAAGTGTCCATAATTAGACGTTTGAGAGCTATGTAATATATAATTCTGTACAGCTATTTTATGAACAAATAGCGTGAATTACTTTTAACTTTGAAGTAATATAACTTTTCAAAAGAATATTCAAAGTGAAAAAACAAAAGGTGTTTTTGAGATTTAATTGTAAAACCTCGATAAAGAAATATGACGTATTCTGTCTCTTTAATTTCGAGGGAACCGTCTCCTATTTCTTAACTATTTTATTTTTTTTACATTATGAAATATTAGTTTAATAATCCCTATTACGAAGAATTCGGATAATAGAATAGAAAGAGGAGAGGATGTTACAAGATGATACTTATCCTACTATCCGAAAAAATCTGTGAAAGATAAAATTTTTATATAAAATATTCATGGTTGCTCCAAAAATTTTGTTACAATATTTTTCTGTGTTCTCTCCTTTATTTATCAAAGAAACATCTTTTGATGATAAAAAAATAAATAAATCTTTTCTTTATAAACAATCCTTATAATTCAGAGTTTATCTGTTTTTCCTTAAAATGAGATACTTTCATCCCCTTTCTGCCTACATTAGTAGACGGATTAGATTTTTTTTCTCTATACAATTTCTAATACAATTATGCTTTTTACAAACTTTTCCTTGAAATTTTATACAATACTTATAAGGAACGAAATAAATTTTATCAAACCGCATAATCATTATATTACTAATTTTTACATTTCTATAATTTTTCTTTCTATTTCAACAAATGTCAAAGTGTACAAAAAGGCAGACAGACAGAAATGAGAAGAAGAGAAAGAGAGAGAGAGAGAGAGAGAGATGATGACGATTAGGGATACTACTAAAACATATTAAAATATAAATTGTAATAAGAATTGCTGTTTCTTCGAAAATTAATTAGGCAGAATGGCGTAAAGTTTGTTTAAAACTTTCATTTTTGTCATTTCTATTACATATTTTTAAGAATTCTTTTCGTTAGTCAAGGTAAAATTTTTATTTTTAACTGTATCACTATATTTATATAGTCTTAATATATAAATATCTCATATAGTCTATTTATAAAACTTCTATCAAAGAGATTAAAGGAAGGGATTATAAAATAAATTTATTATATATGTAAATATTATATATATGTATATATGTTTCTATTTCTTTATTTCCTGGTATTAAATATCAATAATTCTATTTTGAGAGAGGATAATCCTTTTAGAAGAATCTTTGAAATGTAAAATTATAAAAATGAGATGGAATTTTTCTCATAAATTGATAATGAGGTCAGAACGAGAGCAAGTCTTCAAACACTAAGGATTATGGGTGAATAATTTGGTTATTTCCGAAACATTAAGTGCTAGATCATTATTTTCTTTATGAAATATACCTACATTAATAGAGCGTATTATTTGCAGTGTTCTTTACAAATTTGTAAGTGAGTGATGAAAGACAAAAATCATATACATATTCATTCTCTATTGATAACTATGAACAATATATACTCATTCAAGAAACTTAAAGAGTAAACTCTTATAATAAACAATTGAGAAAAAGTATCAAACATAAGCCTTCTTTTAATTAATTGGTGAACATTTCAACTAAGTCGTTGCTTAATTAATCGTATTAGTAAGAAATAGAATTAAGTCTTTTTTCCTTATTTATTGCCGAAATATCCCACTGTTTTATCGATATTAAAGTGCATAGATTTTTAATTTCTTTCACTAATAGAGATAAACCAATTATGTTTTAATTAGAAGATTTAGAATAAAACAAAATACAATTGCGTATTATTTTAATTAAAACCGTCTAAATATTTACTAATTAAAATATCATAGGAATTTTTGTTGGTACCATGTACAGGCTATTTATATTTTCAATAGACAATGATCTATAGATATTCTTATTCTATTTATTTATCAACTAACCTCCTTTTTATTATATGTAAAGAAACGTACAGCCATGTTTTATTAGCAATTTCATAGTTTTAGCTTCGTAAATAAACCATAATTGACAGTGGTTTACTTTCCACTTAGAAATCCTATCATTTCAGGCAAAAAATTTTTGTTTTTAAAACATAGCTATTCTGCTAATTAACGTTACTTTTTTTTCTATATAACATAGAGATTACTTTCTGCAAAGCGCTAATCTATAGCAGAAAAATGTACTTAAATAACCTAGACTTATTTAAGTATTAAATAATATTTCTATTAGAAATAGCAGATATCGTTGATTTCTGCTTTGGAAAACTTACCCTTTCTTTCTATTATGGAACTTAAGCGGAGGGAAAAGTTTGGTAAAACGTTCGACTGGATTATCCCACCAGAAATGCGGCGAGAATACAGCTTTAATAGATATCTAAAGGAATCTATCCAATCAACGCTTCCCAACTAGTTGGCGTTATTTCTCTATTCTACATTAGGTATCTATTAATTATCGGTAATGGTTATAAAGATTGCGATTATTTTCGTAAATGAATCAACTCATTACTCCATAACAGGAGAAATTTTAAATCTATCCTTTTCATCTTTATCTTCTCTCTTTAATTATAACTGAATTTAAATATAGTATAAACAATATAAAACCAATAAGTATACATTTAATATTATCTATCATGAGAAAATATCGTTCATGTAAGTAAATCTATTAATTAGTTAATAAAAATTTATCATTGATAAAAAGAAAAATGATATATCTCTTTGTTCCTTTACTAAAAATGAAAGTGACTGTCATTGCTTCCGGTTCGAGATTCATGGTAAATTCATTATCCGTGATAAGAGATATAGTAGACTACTAAAAGGTTTGATATTTAAATTATTTCTATATAATTATATAGCTGTTGGAATATTTTCCATAGAGCAAAAATTAAGGAATTTTTTTCCCTATATTTCATTTATCATCTCACTGATTTTGATCGCCCACGCTCTCTTTGTATATGTACATCGAAATATTCTATATAGATATAACGAAGTTATGTGGGCGTTTCCTCATCAGTTTTTTGAATGAAATTGTTTGGCTCTTCAGATTCTATAAATAACGTTGTTAAAGTGACAAGATACCAGAATTGAATTATCGAAATAAATGTTCATTGCAAATTTTAGTTAAAAATTTATCTATAAACCTTATGTACAGATTTTTATATTTAATTGAAAGAATATAGAGATATATTGAATTTTTATCAACTGTTAAATCAACAATTCACCAAAAAAGCAGTAAATAGTTTAAGTCGTCAACTAAAGTAACAAACTGATAAATATATATTAATGTATATATCTTGCATGTTGTAATTGAAATTCAAATAAAATTCCAAATATTAATATAACTTTACATCACTACGTTTCCGGCTGGAGCTTAGTTTACAAATAGTCACACTCTCATTAATGCTACTTATTACAAAAATATTTATGTATACTTCCAATTAACGTTTATAGATTTAATTCAAGAAAAGAAATGACTTTTCGGATAAAAGAAATGTGATGGGTTAAAAACAGTAAAAAAAACAGAACAGTGTAACGAATAATTGCAAATGCTATGGGTTTACTCAATTTTAGTGCTCATTTTCTATTTTTATCCGACCTATATATTGTTGTTATTTTTTCCAAAATAAAAGTAGACGTCTTTAGAGACTAAAATCGAATGAAAGAAAGTAAAATATAGACAGATAAAGGAGAGGATAGAATGAGAGAGAGAGAGAGACTGACTGAGAGAATGAATGAATGAAAAACAATTCTAAAAACAGCCACGACTATTTTCATACATTTGCCAATTCTTTTTTATCTATATGTACAAATAGACAAATATATTCCATTCTCTTAAAAAATGATTGAAACATCTTTGCTTTTACTTATTTAAATATATTTTCTTTGTTAACACTAACAACGCCTTTTCACTCTTTAGAAAATGTATTTATTCTTTTACGTTTATTATAATGTCGTAGACGTCTAATTACTTAATTAATTAATGTTTCGTGAGAAAACATAAACTGTTTAATCGACTAATAGGATAAATTAAGATAAAATTTTCTATCAAGAAGAAAAGATCGACAAAGAAAATTGAAATAATATTAATGTTGAAAGAGATATTATATTTAAATTCTTATTTGCAGTAATGACAAAAACGCTTAGGGACAAAACGGTAGGAAATTAATTTTTACATGTTCTCAACTTCGTAGAAAAAAAAAGACAGTCAATAAGAAAAACACTGATGCTTTGTTTATTATATTATAGCATACACAAATAATCTAGGAAACTTTGATTGAATTTTGACACTGCCGCTGACTTGCTCTTTTATTTCTTAAATAAAATCTGCGAGTTTTTCCAAAACGGGTACTGATTTCATATAGTCTGTCTTCAGGACTATTAACTTTTATCCTTTACAAAATTTGTTACTCTATTTGTTCGATTTAGGCATAGAATAACTCTACAAGTTTTTTTTGTATATTACTGTTATACCAGAATGGCACGTTGTATGCCAATAGATGTCGGGATGCTACAGAGTATGCCATCTACTGTGCATTATTTTTTCCATGTCATAACGATCTTTTACTGTAAATTGCTGTTTCCTTAATGATCAATAATTAAATGCAAAGAATTATTAGATTTAACCTGTAGTTAAACTTTTAGTGGATGAAATTCTTTTGCTCTTATTTTTATCTTCTATTAGTTATTTATTTACACCATTCTGAAAATTTAACGAAACAAGTAAAGAAGAGGTGGGAAGAGAGGAAAGTAAAAGAAAGTGGGGATGGAGAAGGCGAAGGAGGAGAGAAATGTACACAGAGAGGATGAAATGAAAGAAACGGAATAAGAAAAGATAATAATTATATATTGTATAATATATAAAGAGAGAGTTAAAAATAAATAAGACTTTATGTTTTAACAGAAGTCGATATAAGGGAAAGATGAAAAGAAACGTAAATTAGACTTAAGGTCGTTATAATTATATTGGCATATGAACATGATAAGGAATACAATCCATCAAATAATCCTCATGCTATGTATGATGCTATTTCTACTGCAATGTATATTTTAGTAAATAGCTCAAGCACTCGACGACACTAAACCTTAGTACAGAGATAATTTTTTTTTATGAAATAGATAATACAGCGCTATATACATAAGGTTCACCAATGGAAAATTGTATAAGCACACTAAATGATGATTTTTATTATTATTACACTTGTTAAAAGAAAGAAGAATTTATCATTTTTTTATCATACGACTTTGAAAAACCTCAATGATTCTCTTGTGTTTTGTAAGGCTCTTAAGAAATAGTCTTAAAACGTTAGATATTTCATGTATGTTAAAATGATTCATTATTCATTTTAGTCTCTGGAGAAAAAACTTACGAAAGACAATTAAATGGATTGTAAAAGACATTAATGATTGCAAAAAAATAAAGGAGAATTCGAAGAACTTTGCCATTTTAATCTATAAAGAGAGAATAGCTTCTCTAAAACATGAATTGTAACTATATCGAAATATTGGAAACGGATATGATTTGCAAGAATTAAATATTACCAAGATAATCAAAAATCTCAAATATCAAATCCAATAATCGATCATTTTCACTTAAAATAGAAGTCAAAAAAACAGCAAAACCTAGTGCATTGAAATCGATTTATATCTTGATAGCTAAATAAAGTCGTTTTGAATTAATTATTTTACGTAATCCTAAAAAAAAGTATTCTCCGGTGCTAAAATATTTACTTGTAAATAATGTTTACAAGGTATTTTCCTTTTCCTGTCCTTCGTTGTTCTGTAATTTCCTTCCTTTCTTTAATTTTCCAATGCCTAAACAAGCAAACATTGCCACCATTGAGAGTAATAACGTTAAAGCAATTTTTATTCCTACTTTTACATCGTACTTTCTAGCATCTTGTTCCGGCATAAAGTGTATGTGGACCTTCTCCGAATAGATGTATCGTGGAACTTTATCTTCTTTCTTTTTCATCTTTTTATTTGAAGTTTTAATTTTATCACACAGTTCCGATTTACTTAATCGAAATAGTTGCTTTTTTTGTTTTAAACAAAATGGCGACGTATGTTTAGACCATTTGAAAAGAGAGTTCAAGTAATAATTTTCACAATGGCAATTAAGTTTGTTATTATACATATTCAATTCGATTGATCTTTTAAATCTAAAATTTTTCCTTGAGATTGTTTTTATTGAATTATGGGAAAAGTTAATTTTCTTTAGTTTACAGGATCCTGAAAACATATTCCACGGCAATTTTTCAATTTTATTGTAGGACAAATCCAAAATTAATAAACTCTCTAAATGAATGGTTTTCACTTTTGTTAATCTATTACTGTAAATGTAGAGCTCTGTCAACTTCGATAGATCTTCGAAAACGCTCATATCGATACGAGTAAGTCTATTAAAGCTAAGATCTAAAACTCTTACGTTTTGAAAATGTGCTATCCATTTTCGATCTATAATCTCTATATAGTTATGAGAAATATTAAGGTGAGTAAAATTCTTTGAATATCTTCGAAAATCTTTTGTCAGCACCTTTAATCCACAATAAGATAAATCCCATATTAATCCATCTATCCTTTTTGTAAGGTTACACGTCAAAGCAGCACGTACAATTAAGAATGTCGCATATATGTATATAAACAAAATTATCATTGTTAATTTCATAACGAGTATTTACAGTAAGTTTTTCGAGATGTTTCTCCCAGGTATGTGGTTTGATCCTTTGATGTAGAAGCAATATAGGTGTCGCTGTAATAACGATTGATTAGCTTAATTTATAATAGTGGGATTTACAAGTATATCTAACGTGTATGATTGACCCAAATGAAGTTGACTAGCTATTGGTTCCTTTTATCGATTCCACTTAAAATTACGTTTAGATCGATAAGTATTGAGAGAAGTAAAGAAAAGATTTTTTCAACATAGCTTCTAATTCTTTAAACACTCAATACAATAAATACTTGAACAATTATATTGTTTGAAAGCTATTTTAGAGTTTCCTCTTCTGTTGATGAAATTTCTCAAGTTGTTTTTCAATAAAAATTTTACTTTTACGCAATTAGACATTGGTTTAAACCTTTATTGCAGCTAACAAATATAAGAAATTATTGATTCACTGACCGATTGTGGAATTGTTATAAACAAAGAACTGAAAAGCTTAAAGTAGTTCACTTTTCTCTCTCTATCTCTTTCCCTATCTCTAACTCTCTCTCTGTTTTTTATTTTGATAACATGTATTTGTTTTTCATACCACTGTAAAGTTCTTATGAATGAATATTCTATACTGTATAGTATAAATATATATATATTTGTATATGTATGTATGCATGTATATGTATACTGGCAATTGTCAGTTTTTTATATCGATTAGCTCAGTTTAAAAAGGGAAAAAACACTGTAAAGCAAGATATCACTAGAAAATTGCTGTATATTCGTATTTTATTACAATTTAACCCCATTTGAGAAAGATTTATTTATCTTAGATTAAAAACATTATAGAAAATGTTAGTTTTCTGTTTTTTGTACTTCATAAATAATCAATCGCCAAAGTTTTTTGTCTGTTAGACCATGCGTAAAAATAATTATTAAATTAACAATTATTTCAAAGCTTCTTATGTCAGGTACATACATATAAACCATATATATATATATTTACAAGAACATATATAAATATATATGTATATGTATATTTTAGATACCTGCTTTAAGTTTCTAATACATCAGTACGATTAATAATAGTACTAATTAAATAGTAAAAAAGAAACCTATAAATAGGCTTACGATACCACAGGCTTATAAAAAATAATAAATAAAATTCCAGACTTTCATTGTATTAAAGAAATTTATTATTTTATATCTAAATTCTGTGCTATTTCTTAGACTAGAAAGTAAAAAACAGAGAGAAAATTTTTTCTTGGCTTCAATTAATGTTTATTTATTGGAAAAAAATGCTTTTTTTCTCTTTTTTATATATATTTTTTATTATTATTTTAACAAAAAGAGTTAAAACTATTTATAATAGTTAACGATATTTGAATATATATTAAATTATAGCTATAAAGTATACAGTATATACTGTATATATATATGTTGTCTGCTGAATTGTCTTTGACTATAGATGGGTTCAAAAACACTGATAAGTTTACGTTGTTCTACTAAATTTAATGAAGCAAAAGGATTAGATAATTTTAATCTAAAAATATATCTTATAAATTTTGCCGTGACATCTTGAATTTATTTTCTTGAAAAGGCGTTATTTTCACGTTCAATTTAAATGAATCGATATCAGCTGGCTGTTCTTCTAGCAGATTATAAATTTTGAGTAAATCTGCCAAACGTTTGAGCTATTGAAGCTTTTAACCAAACTACCTTTTGAGAAATATAAAAAGGTAACGTCTTACGCTTTGAAATTTCTCTTAGTTGTTTTGTGCCTTTCACATGGTGATTTAATTAATATTATCTTGCGTATTAGTTGACGCCATCTGTTGTCTATAATATACTACACAGCTACAGAGAGTGTAATCATACGCTCTTAAGATTGCGAAAGTAAAGAACGATACTAAATGGAATCTCCAGCAGACGCTCTATTTAATATAAAGAAGACATCTTTCTTTGGATGTTGACCTTACTCTTCTTCCTTATTATATAGCAGTCCTGCTATGCAAGCAGATAAAAAGCAGCTTAGATTTCCAGCAATCATACTCTTTATTGCTAGACTAGACAATAATTTCTTTCTCTTTGGAGCAAGTACTCCCACAGCTCCTAAAACAATTCCAATGTCACCGAAATTTCCAAATCCGCAGAGGGCATACGTTGCGATTATTTCTGATCTTTTGTTCAGTTTATTATCCTTAATTGCCCTTCCCAATGCTTCGTAAGCAAGAATGTCATTCAGGAATATTTTTTTTGCAATTAATTTACTAACAGTCAGTATGTATTGTGGTTCAATCCCCAATAGTAGAGGAATTGGTGAGAAAATATAAGCGAATATCAATTCAAAAGATGTTTCAATTCCAATTCTTTCTCCCAGCCAATGAATTACGGAATTTAAAAAAGCAAGTATTGAAGTAAAAGCAATTACATTAGTAACAATTGCAGCTTTAGTAAGGGGTAATAAAGTAAATGTTTATTTATAATAATCTTAATAAATAATAGAAAAAAAAGCGTATACATAGTATTAGTAAAAGTATATATAATACGGTATATTATTAGGTGGAATGCGGCAGTTTAGGACATTTTTCTAATGTTTCATAAAAAATTTTATAAGAAAAGTTCTTACTGAATTAATAATTTAGGATAAGAGCCTACAAAATTAGTACCTATTGATTTTCTTCTTTTTTTTTACATAGAATTTGATCTGGATTAGATTATCTTAACAGCTTTTAGTTTTTGGGAAAAACATATAGGAGAAAGCAAAATAAAATCTATTTTAATATTTCCTTTTAAAGCTATTTGATAATCAAAAAGGTTAATTACGCTAGTTTTATGTAAATAACGGTTTAAAATAAACATTTAATATCTTTATTACCCGTTACTGGAATACAATTTGCTGCTCCTATAGCTATTGCATCTAGGATCCCTTTAGCTCTACTTGGACTAAATTCTAATTGATAAGTAATTTTGTCCCTTTTATCGGGAACAAGTAATTTTGAGATAACTAATGATGCTGGAGCTGACATTATTGATGCAGCAACTAAATGGGTAGGTGAAATTCCAAACGAAATGTAAGCGGCAAACAGAGATCCTGTGACTGTTGCAAATCCTGACGTCATTGTACTGAATATTTCAGACTTAGTCAATTTTTCCAAAAATGAAGATATAGTAAGATAAGAAAGAATCTGTTCATCAGTAAATAAATTAATTAAATATACATATATAGATTATTTATATAATTATTTATATATATTATATAATACAATATATGTTTATATATGTAAAATTCAAAAAATATTTAACACTGTAGTGTTTACCGGACCAAGGAAGATATTAGCTGCTGTAACAAAAGCTTCAGCTGGCGAAACCTTCATAATTCTTATCATAACATTTCCAAATCCTTTAATGCAAAACTGCAATATTCCCAAGTAATATAACAGTTCTATACAAGCTCCAAAGAATATTACAGGTGGCATAATCTGGAAAATTACGAGATATACTAACAGAAATTATCCTCTTATTTTACAGATATATTTACGGCAAAAACAAATTCATGGTCTCTAAATTTTTCGCCGAATACAAATTCGGCTCCTGCATCAGCATTTTTTAAAAAATCTATAATCTTATCCCCTAAGAACTTAACAGCTTCTTTTCCTTCTTTCCACCGTAATATTATTACACCGAAACTGAATTGAAGAAAAAATCCTGAAATGGCTGTCCTCGGAGAGATCTATCCAAGCGTAAATAGAAAATGAACGAATGAGGTTTGAAGTTGATATAAACAATAAGAAACTTACTGCTCCAACATTATCAGATGCTATAACAGAGATTAATGTAAAAGCCAAGAGGCCAGACAATGAAACAAATTTAATAGGATCCCTATAGCCATCAACTATAATAAAAACAACCAAAGCCATCAGTATCAATGTTACAAGCAACCTTTGGAAGAAAATACTATTTTGACATAGAAATGCAAATAATGTTTTACTAGAGAAGAGTAATTGATTGCAAAATGGACTGTATTATGGTATTTATGTCAAGGCGCAAGATTGCAAGTATACTTACCATGTTCCATATTTTTTCCATGATTCAGGTATTCTTGTGAAGATATACTCCAATTTTAAAGATAATTTTCTCCAAATAATATATCCACTTTTAATATAGAAAATTAAAATTAATACTATACAAGTTAACACAAATAGTCCTATATTATCACTGAAATCCAGAGATAAACAATATCCAAAATAAATACTATATAATATGGTAAAAACTGCTACTAAAGTGTATTTTATGTGTTTTTTATAAACAATAGCTTCTTCAACTACTTTTTCCCTAAATCTTTGTACAACATTCTTATTTAGTAACATTTCTCCATTATTCTCAAGTCCCGCTTGAAAATTGGTCATTTCCTTTTAAAAAAATACTCTCAAATAGTATTACCCATACAATAGTGCAGGTCTACCTAACCACACTAAACTTCGAAGCAATATGTATTAAATTTACAAATTTAATATGAAATTTCATTTGTTTGAATGATTTCAACAATTTACCGTATTTATTTGTATTATCGATTGTTTCACTGTATAATTATATATAAAGATTTTATCAGTACTTTTATTCTTTGTGATATGTTTTATCCAAATAAATACCTTTTAAATTCAAAACATCAAACTCAATATAGAGAAGAAACAAGAAAGAAAGAAAATAACACTGATAATATGTAAATGCACTAATAATTTTAACAATACAATACACTATAATATATATATATATATATATATATATATATGCATATATTAGATTTATATATTCTTACAAATATTATACAGTGTAATATTCTTATCGCGTATAATTTTTGATTTAAATACTAAATTGAAATTTTATGAAAATTGAAATTCAAGAGTCATATCTCTCTCTCCCATCGAATTTTCATACACGGTGCGTCTTTCTCTAAAAATTAAAAATATTTTAAAAATAGAAAAGAAACATTTTCTTGCTAGAATTTTAGTTTATTGTATTACAGTTTTATAAAACCCGTTTATATATAGATATGCTAATAGAATATACCTCCAAAGTTTCCTTAGAGCAAAGAAACAAAATAAAGTGAGCATAGAAAATACTACTGCCATTAGAAAGAAGCCAAGAATTTCCGTAAATATCATTTACTTTTGAGGGAAAGCAACTGTTTTCCTTAGTGTTAAGAAGGCGCCCATAGATGGAGTTACGAGTACCGTTATCTGCGAAAGTTGTCTATAGCTATTATAGAGAGCTGTATGTGTTTAGTTTTTAAAGGAAATTTAGCTTAAAGAAAAACCAAGTTCTTTTATTAGTTGACTATTTATTTTGATAATTGGATTGTGAATTAAAAGAAGACAGACAGACAGGCAGAGAGAAGGTAAAGAAAATAGGAGTTAATGCACAAAAAAGATAAAACTTTAGATAAAACACCATTATAAAATAAGCCTTTAGAGTAGTGATAGGAAAAATTCACTTACATCAGCAAAACTGATGGTCAAGACTACTTTTACGTGTCATGTAGGAAGCAAGCTAACAATCTAAACAGTCTTAGTAATGTGAAATTATGTGTTATACACTTTTTGCTTTAAACAGAGATGGAATACCAGCTTGATTGAAAAAATTGTCAAGAATTAACAAAGAAAAAAAAATCCAATTAGAGCAAAATACATCAGTGTAAACTGGATTTTCAATACAGAGTATTTTTTATGCTATTGAAAGGATGTATTTCTCTTAGCATTTGTAAAATTTAATTACTCCTTTTTCTATAATTCGGTTTACCAATCGAAATTTGCAGTATTCTTTATTTTCTATGTGTTTTTTTTTCTGCCCAAAAATTAATTATGATAGGTATAATATACTTGATAGAAATAATATATGTAGCTGATATCTACTAGATAGTCTTTCATTGTGCATGAAGTTAAATTTATCTTTTGCTCATCATACGAAATGACATTTTTTGAAATAGGATGAAATTACAGATTCATACCAAGCTTGGTGCATTTTTTCATGATTTACATGTATTGCTATGTTAATGATCTTTATTAATTATTTTTGCTTGACTTTTCCAATTTAATTTTTCATTTTTTATTTGAACTGTAGGGCTTTTTGATCGATAATCTTTATTTTCTAAAGAACCAATCTTGGCATCCACATTCCATTGTAATTTTTCATGACCTATTTTCTTATTTGATGGTCTTGGTGTATATTCTTTGTTTTCTAGTGAATTAATTTTAGACTCGACTTTCCACATTAACTTTTCATTTTTAACTTTAACTTCTGGCTCTCTTGGAGAATATGAAATATTCTCTAAAGAATTAATTTTGGAGCTGACCTTCCAATTTAATTTATCCGACAATACTTTGACTTTAGAGGTAGGTGGTTGGTAATCTTTATTGACTAACGAACCAACTTTTGGTTCGGCATTCCAATTTAACGGTTCATTTCTTATATTTATCGTTGGTTCCATAGGCTTATAGTTTATTTTTTCCAGCGAGTTTATTTTAGATACCTTAGTCCATTGGAGATTAGTATTATGAATTTTCACTTTGGGAGTAGTTGGTCTATAATCCTTATTTGCCAACGATTGAAGTTTTGATTCTGATTTCCAGTTCAATTTTTCTTGTTTGATTGAAGTAGACGGTTCAGGAGGTTTGTAAGATATATTCTCTAAAGAATTTATTTTAGCATTAGTATTCCAATTAAGACTTTGATTTTCGATTTTTATCTTAGGAGTTGCAGGCTTATAATTTTTTCTTTCGAGAGAATGAATTTTCGAATCAGTATTCCAGTTTGTTTGATAATGCCTTATAGAGAAATTTGGTTGAGAGGGTTTGTAACTAACATTTTCCAACGATTTAACTTTCGATAAAGCTTGCCATTTCGGTTTATCATCTGTAATTTTCAACTGACTTTCAGGTGGTTTATAACTTAAATTTTCCAGGGATTTCACTTTAGATTCCTTTTGCCAGATAAGTTTTTCGTTTTTAATTTGAATATTCCCACCACCAGCTACATGAGATACTTTTTCCAAAGAGTTAATCCTTGACTCCACATATTCGTACTTGTTAATTTTTGGTTTCTGTAATGTAGCCATTTGACAGAATATTACAAATAACAGGGAAAAAAACTAACAAAGCTAAACTTGACAACGAAGGATTATGTCTATTGATTAGGGTGATATTGTTATTATTATATCTTGATTTTGAGTATATTATGAACAGAACAAAATCTTTATTATCGTGTATAGACTCTACTCTCCATAACTAATATTCTTCCTTCTCTAAATAAAACAAAAAAATGCGAACTTTATAGAATATTTTATTCATTTCAAGTTTATTTAATAAAAATTTTCATTTCACTTTGCTTTACTTTTCGATTAATCAATCATTTTTTCAATTTTTGAATGTATATTCAATGAAAAATCGCTTATTGCTATAAAGATAGAATGTTTATTTAAATGAGAGATTTATTGCGCATTTCTTCTTCAATAATTTCGCTCGTAATTTTTTCCCCAATTAAATTGCCATTTTTTATGTATTGATTTCAGTATTAAACAAAAGAGGCTTATAGGAACTTTATCACATTTGTTATTGACATTGTTCCTGTTACACCAGATAACTGAGGCCAAATAGCCAAATTTGCGCTTAATTTGTTTCCTATACGAGAGAGACAATCGTTCTATCTAATTGCAACCAATATAAAATAAGAATATTAATTAAGCCTACAATGAGTTATTATTTAATGCTCTTAATTCATCTATTGATTTGTGTAATTATTTCTTCAGGAGTAGTATGGTGGCGCTCTTCTCAGCTCTACTGTTGATCTATTGTATTCCATAGCTGCAACTTATCTACATATACCCAACCTTTGACCAAAGGTATGAATCTATTAATAAATTTTGTAATATTTTCAAACTTTAAACAAGAAATCTTAATTTATTATACTGCATATATGATAATAAGGATATCGCTTTCTAATGAATCTTTTTCTTTACAACTTGTATAATATTAAAATATACTACGCAATTTGAACACTTAAATGCAGGCCTTGACATTAGATTTAACTTAGCCTTGAAACTTTACAACTTTAAGTTCAATTTATCTAGATATTTTACTCAATCACCATTAACCATAATGGTTTACGTCGTCAAGATAAAAATAGATGCATAAATGAGAAGAAAACGAACTACTGATAAGTAGCATTCATAGACGTGAAAGTAGAGAAAAAAATTCCTTTCTCTAAAAAATTTTAGAGTTAGTGTTTCTACGAGTTGTTAAAACCTTTAGTTGTAAGTGGGAGTTTTCTAGTACTCATAACTGCTTAAATTCTATTGTTTAACCACTAATTTTCGGAAATTGTACGAAAGACGATATCCAAAGAAGAAATCAATCTTATTTTATATTAAGGAGACAGAGATAGGGGAGGGGGAAATACTTTTATGAAATCAAAGCTAATTTATCCTCTATATTTCTGCAAATTGACTAGCTCTATATTGTATTGAAATAATAGATAAATTACAGCTAAATTAAAATAAATCAATAGTATATTAATTGAATTAATATTTTGCGGGAATTATTATTTCATATGATTTTATAATACATATCTAAAGGAAATCCTAAATTAGTACATTTTGTTCATTTAATACTCAACCTTTTATGCAAAACTCGTATAAATAAAAATATATACTGTAATACATCTACTGGCCTAGATTCTCTTGCAATTATTACACCACTCATTTAAAAAATATTTAAAGATACATATTGTAAAGTAATGGATTCATAGTTGGCTCATTCTCTAGACTTGCTAGACTTCAGTCAAGGTAAATATATATATATATATATATATATATAAATTTATATATATATATGTGTGTTTATAAAATTACATTACATAATTTAATTAATATTTCATTGTCGTAATAGGAAAATGTCTACAAAATTAATAATTCTAGCAGTGGCAATTATCGCCATGGGCGGCGTCGGTAAGATTTTCTTTTTGCTATATACTTCTAGTACTATTAAGCTTATAATATATATACACCATAAGCATTGTAGTATTTATAAGCTTTAGAAATTATACAAATAAATATTACAAGAAAAGGTTATTTTGTCCAGTAAACCAATATTTGTTTTTATGTTATAATTCAATCTATATAAACATTGCTCTAATCTACGTTTGTCAGTAATTGATCTAATTTGAAGATATGTTTTCAAGATAAAATTATTTTTTATATAGGAAATCATTGGTATTGTAAAGTTTTAGGTTATATCTTTTTGGCTTAATGTGCTTGTTATAAAAACATATAGATGTTCTATTGTACAATATGTAGAAAAATATCAAATAGTATGACGATACAGGATATGCAAATTTTTGATCTTGTTACATACTTTAAACATATACTTTAATGTCATAAATAATTAATTCTAGTCTTGGGTTACGTCACTATAAGGTGCATTAAATACTTGAATAATTATGCATTTTAAAACTCTATTCAAAGTTTACTTATTATTTTAATTAGCATATTTAATATAATTTCTATTACTCTTTTAAAAACGTGTTGAAAAAGGGTAGTATAGAGTCTTTTAGAAAAAATAATCTGTTAATTTCAATCAGGTTAAACAGTTTCATTGTAAAAATTACAATATTTATTCTTATATGTATTTCAAACGTACCTTATAACATACATTAATTTACTACTCTACAGCTGCTAAAAAGGCCACATGCGTCCTCCAAGTAGGAGTTACAGAAGGAAAAGGAATAACTGGAAAGATTACAATTGAAGAAAATGTGTGATTTTTTTCTCTAATTAGTAATTATAAAGCAATTAAAGGGAAATAATTGAAAATTACTTATTGATTGAAAATTTCTTGAATATTTGCTAATTTTATCATTTCTATAAAACTCCATCCGAACTATGTAGTATAAATAGTATCGCTTGCGAGAAAATTAAAGCTCATTTGCCTCCTTCCCATTCAGCCTCTAAAGCAAATCGGTTCTTTTGAAAAAGTTTTGTAATAGCTGTTGCTAAGGCAAATCAATACTACATATCGATTTTTTTTTAATATGTTCTAATATTTTAGACAAATGTATACAATTTAACGAAATTTGGAAGGAAAAATAGTTCATTATTAAAAGGAAAAGAAACTTTTACGTTATTTTAGAAATATACATTTAAAAGCACGTCATATGCAAACGACAAAAACGGGAAAGAGAACTTCCAGAATGAGAGGCATTTGTACTTTTATGACATACAAAACTGAAAAACGGGGATTGTATACTTAAAAGAAGACATTCATTGGATCGTTTTGATCTTTTCCATATTCTAGTTCATCGCAAACTTCCAAGCAAATATATAATGATATCTTATTGACCACTCATTTCATACATTAGTATTTTTGCATCACTTCTTCAATATTACTCTGATTGCTATAACCAACGCTTATGTCTGAGAATACTGTAATTTTATCTAATTTTATGCCAAATTTACGTTAAAGAGATTGTAAATCTTAATTTACTTTAACTTTAATCATTTGATATTTATACATTTAATATACAGTATACAAAGAGAATATAAAATAGCTTTAATATGAATTTTGCAGAGCGAAAGTGGAACTACAAAGTTTATGATAGATATTAAGGGAGTGAATACTACCAATGGAAGCTCTTTGAAAGGTTTTCATGTTCATCAATATGGTAAACTGTCAGAAGAATGTTCTGCTGCTGGTGGTCATTTCAATCCCTTTAATAAAAATCATGGTAGTCCTAACGACACAAATAGACATGTTGGAGATTTGGGCAATGTTATTGTCGAAACTGATGGTACAATACATCAAACTATCTCTGATCAAATAGCTAAGCTCACTGGAGAAAATAACATAATGGGAAAATCAATTGTGGTAAATGAAGTTATAATATATTAGATACCCTTTTCTCAAAAAAAATTATCTATTTTACATAGCTGCATCAGGACAAGGACGATCTAACGTCTCAGCCAACAGGTGCCGCAGGAAAGAGATTAGCATGCTGTCTCATAGTGGAAAGTGACATAGGAAATGCGTATAGAATTAAACCATCTGTATTTCTTAGCTTACTGTTGACAATTTCCATGTACATATTCTTATACAAATAGTTTTAATTTGTCCGGATCGGTTAAGCACGTACACACACTCGTAACTATTCTACATCACAGTATATAATATATACTGTCATATAATCATTTAGGTATAACAATTGAAGTTGATGTTGCAAAATCAAACCAAAAAATCTGATATTCCAAAAAGGTAATTGAAATTAATAAAAGACTTTTACTTTGCTAATTATGTTTTTTGTATCACTGTTAACATACTTTTGTATTGTATTATATTAATAATAAAATACTAAATGAATATTTATTTAGTTATATTGTTTCTTTTCAATTTAGTATAAATAAATAAATTTATACACTACATTCTAATAAATACATTGTATTATTAATATAATTAATGTATATACAAGTATATTAAATCGTATTGATTCAATTTATTTTATTTCTTATGTAAAATAATAACATTTAGCTACACTAACATATCTTTAAGACATTTTTTCTTTTATATAATGTTACATAAACAAATTGTTTAATTGAGTATTGCATAACAATAACTATTAATTACCTTGTTATAAAAATTACCTATTCGAAATTTATAATATCAGTTCATTTGAGGTTATTTTACAACTATGATTACTGCCATCGTCTTGGTAGCCTTCTTACAACTCGTCTCTGTGCAAGGGATGAAGCATGACCAGTATTACGGCGGAGGTGAACAAAGTACAAAAAAGGTCTACGCCGATCTAAGTCCGGTTTGTTATTGGTTGTTAAAACGATAACAGTGATAATTTTTTATTTGCGTTGACAGTATGTCAGATCCAAAATGTTAGGAGATCTGTGCTTTCAACCCACTAGTATCGAAATGCAATGGCATATGAACTTCTCAATGAGTGTAAGGATATTAATAATTATGCAATTTTGAAATTTGTATATAACGTTCTGTTTTATAGGAAAACGAATGGAATATGCAAAAACCCATATTAGAAATTTACAGGAACGAAGACATTTATAATTATGATATTGTTGGTGTTGAACGCCTTTGATTAGTTTCTTATATTTACTAATTTTAATTTGTAGTGTGCAACATACTCTACTCCATTGAAAACTTTTGAATTAAACTCCATGTACTGTCAAACACATCGCTATATGAGCAGAAAAAAGAGAGCATTAAGGTACGATTCTATTATATAAGATATACTGTTATACAATTGGATCTTAATGGGGGGTGATCTGAAAAGATATGCAATTTTCAGTGTTTAGTAATGTACGATAGCTGATGAGTATATTTTCGAATGCTTTCAGGTTGAAAAGAAGTTGGAATTCAACTAGTAAGTGGAATGGTTACAAAAATGAATACACTGGATATTACGGATATAATACTAAAAGATATGATTGGTACAGAAGTACAGAGGGACCCTATGAATCTTATAATAAAAATCTCAACATTTCTTGCTCTGGAACAGTTTATGTGACTTTAGAGAAACCGACCAAGCTCGCAGCCTTTATTAAAAGATGTAACAAAAACACTGTAAGTATCCATTATTTTTGATGTTGTTAATCAATGAAATAATTCTAAATTGGTTTACAAAAATAGTATGAATACTACAATGGATGTTTCGAAGTGAAAAACTCTTATATGGGAGAAGACTGCGAAGAAAACCAACCTTTTGAAAATAGTGGTAAAGCTATATATATATATATTTATTTATTTATTTACACATTCGGGTTAATGTTAATAATATTTTCTCTATTCCAGCAACTTTGGTTAAACCAACAAACGCTGTTGCTCTTTTAATAAGTGCATATATTTTTCAAAGAATATAACTTATTTAATATCTTTTATGAATAAGAAAGAAGTTTAAATGTTTAATTTCAGAATACAAAATTCATATCACCTGCAAATATTTAAATAAGCTATAAATTTTATTTTCTTTCTCGAATTGATTAATGACAACTCAAAGATAAATTATCTTGTAAATATTTCTACTTATAGTACGCAAACTTGTATAATATTTGAATTAAAGATATAGTTTATTTGAAAATACATCGTTAATTTATCACTTAGGCAATTTATACCATATATGATTTCTAAAGCTATTTTCACATAACAGAACATCACAGTCAAAATACCAAAAACTATTATTAGGAATATTTTTATCAGATATCTAAATACAATGTGGAATATATAGTAAATACAATTAAAGATAAAGAACTACTGTATATTATAGGCGTAAAATGCATTTCAAGCATTTAAACTTAAAGCTAAACTATCCTTTCGTTTGAATGAGAAAATTCAAGGGAGGAAACGAAACAATTGTAATAAAAATGATAAAGTTTAGAAGTATTTACAATGTTAAACTTAACATGAAACAGTTTTTCTATTCAGTAGCGTAATTATCATTAGAATTAAAATTATGTAAACAATGAACTTAAATCAGTAAATGCCACATTTCTTTCGGTTTAAAATCATAAAATACATATTAAAAGGCTAATGTCATCAACTATGATTCATCTTGTAATTTTTGCTTATTCTGGCTAAATTTTTGGTGTAGGGATTATAAATTAAATATACGAAATAATTTTGACCACAGTGAGCGTTACGATATTAAAAAGTAACACAAAAAGATCCTTAAAGAGTGTGTATTTCATATTTCTTCCACCTTGATCAGAATTAAGGCTTAAAGAAAATACTAGTGAGATAGTATATACTGTATAAAAAGAATGTAAGAGAATCTTCAATTGCAAAATATTGCTGTATTTAATAGCACCTATTTAGAGTCCAGTGTTTTCCAAATTTTTTTTTCGTCCATTCAGCCTAGTTATTGAAAATGAATGTGTGAGTTTCGTTTTTGTTAGCGTACATGACTTTTTTCCCATCAATGACATGATAAATCTCTAAAGTAGAGAGGTTTAATTTTTACGACTTAAATAAGTAATTAAAGCTTATTAATTATTGTCTTTTATACGTATGTATACTTACACACATATATAATATATACATTACTATTGTATACAGTATATGCTCTCCATATGATAAAATAGAGTCTTTATAAATACTGGACATATCCTTATCTAAATTAGTAGAAACTCGAGATAACATTAATAGAAACAAAACAAAAGTTCTACAATTTTTAATTAGAAGAAGTATTACAAAACTGTATATATATATATATCTAGCCATATCAATAACAATTTTAAAAAATGAACAACTTAGGGATCATCTATAGTATCATCATCATTTCAAACTGTGAATTTTGTTTTTCTCGCCCACGAGGTAAATAACTTTATCTTAAATAAATGTAGGCAAAGTGGAAATGCTTGCAAGTTATTATGTTCCTTTTTTTTAAAAAAAACTAGAAAAAAGAAATATTTGTTCGCAAAATCGGGAATTTTATTCCATTGGATTCTTTTACGATAATATAAAGCGTGTTAGGATTAACAATGAATCAAAAAGCGATTACAGAAAAATCGTAAGTAGTGCAAGTAATTAACTATGTTTAATAAATTAACAATTAACAGTCCTTGTAAGAGAAATATTTTTTTTTCAGACGCAAAGATATATAATACGTACCTTATTAAAGTATAAATTTCTCCAATGTTCTCAGAATTCTACCTCACTAATAGAAAAAATTAATAGTCTTTTAATAGTTCGTCAGGAATATCCAAAGTTAATGAAATGTGTTTGTAATAAAGAAATTAGAAAAAGAAGAGTAATTAACAGATGTTATCGTTTGAAAAAAAAGTTTGCAAATCAAGATATTAGAGAGGCTAATGTGGATAAAGATTTCAAAAGAATATTTTCTTATATCTTTTTTCTAAAAATTCAACAAAACAACATATTCATATCACTTTGTCGAAGTCTCCGCAAAAACCTTGAGTATTCGCCCTTGGAGTTAGATTACTCCCAAGACAATTCTTTTGAGGGAGTACTTTCTACTAAACTGAAAAGATTAACATCCGACCTTGATATAGTAAGTCAATTGAATAAAGTTTAAAAAAATTAACTGTATATTTTAAGTTTCATTCATTCAACAGGTAAGACAATATGAAATATCTGTAGATATATTTCAAAACGTCCAAAGCATCATCAATTTAAAAAAATATGGAAACAAAATTTTCAAAACACGCAAGGGAATTAAGCTTGTGGAATATCAACTAAACAAATTTATAAATAGTATAAACTACAAGAAGAAACCAGCAATAATTCGAAAGAGACCCAACACTTGTTTAGGCTTAAAAATTGTATTCAAACAAGTTGCTAATAGAGTTGATAAAGTACTGACAAAAGATTTAAAATGTTAAAACAAAACTTTTTCATTGAGAGGAAAATTATCTCACATTTTTTGTTTATATTAATTTTGTTTTTAAACTCGTTAAAACTATTATTTTTTATTGTTTAATAAAAGAGTTAGTCTTCTATGATATTCATTTGTTCAAAAGTTTACTATGGTTGTTTATTTGTATCAATGCTTTTCAATGGAAATGAATTATATCAACTAGTCATTTTATAAATATAAACATATATTTATATATGTGTAAAGAAAATTTTTCATTTTTTGTGGTTATTGGTTATGTTCAATTTATATTTAAATTTTCTCTTCTCTTAGAAACTAACAGTAAACTTTTTGCTGTTTCAACTGAATAGAAAAATCTTATAAATAGGCAAATCGACAACTCTTAAACGTAAAGCATTGAAGTTCCCGAAGAAAGTTTGAAATATGAAGTTCTCTTATATTCTATTAATGGTTACAGGCTTTTTTGGTGTATTAGATGCTTTAAAGTGTAAAGTTTCAAGTAAAAATAATAGAGAATACAAACGAGAGTCAGCTGATATCATAATTGGCAGTCGAGTAAAGATTAATAAAGTAAGTATTTTCGTAAAGTGAAAGAAATAAATTATTAATATTGTCTTCAATATTTTGATATAAAGGATGATTTCTGGGAGCCGTCAGTTTTTATAACTTTAATCGTCTCTCATTACAAGTCTGCGAAGACAAAGAGCTTTAATTTCGGGAAAACAACTAATTTGCTAGATGAGTGTTACAGAGTATTATTTAAGGATACGTCGTCTCTAAGAAAATTTTTGTCAAGCGATAGCATAGACTTTATGAAAGAAGTTTATGCCCAAGCTGAACATCTGTACTGCCGTATTAGAGGAGAAGACATAAGTTATATGAGTAAAATTGTCAAAGTCGTTAATTTGAGACCTAGTAGACTTTATCCGAAAGTTTTTATCTTGATGAATCAAATTCTGGATGTCATCGAACAAGCCAAATATTTTTAAATACCTGGCATGTTTTTTTCTACATGTTCTGCTATGCAGATATACTTTGGTTCTTATTATCAAGCGAAGTGTCTAGTGCCATCTGTATTTTATTTAGTATTTCTATTCATTTTCTATTGAAACAATTGATATTATTTTTCTACAGTTTATATTTTTTAAATAAATTATATTAAAATGTAAAAGAAAATTGATAATTGATATAGTTCAATTAGATTTCTAAAATTGGGTAATTTTGTGGTTTAGAATAGAACCATAAAAAAACACACAAGTTTCTCTGATTCATAGTTTCCTTGACTACTTCATACTATACCCGTTCATACATAGATCTACTTACATTTATCTTCCAGAATATAGACGCTAAATATTGGAAACTCCACAAAAGAAAAATTGTTAAGATCAGTATTTTTCTTAAATCATACTTATTTAAAAACTTTCCTACCAATGCTTTAAATTATAAAATAATCAGTATTGACTGTATCTGATACTCATTGGCCTTTATTAAAAAGATTGAAGTCTCTTTTCAATATTGTATCAAAAGATATAATATTAGTTTTCCTTATAAATGTTAAAAATACAGGTTTTTAACTACTGTATATTAAAACATAATTCTGCTATTTTCATTCAAGTTAAGTACATCAGAAATAGCGTAAGAACAGTTAAAAAAGTTCCTCATCGTCCTCATGAAATTAAATTTATGTTTAGTTTATTTAGGTAAAAGAAAGCCTAATATTTCAATTATTTGAAATTCGTATAAAATCTAAAGTATATAAAAAGGACTTAATTCAATTAAGGCGATTGTCCTTTTTGAAAGATAAATTAGATTAACTTAAGAAATTTAATTGAAACAAGTGGCAATGAGTGGAGTTACTAGTTTAATCATAAGACATCTATAGATAGAAGAAGTATTTTTTAAACTTTTATAAGTAAAGTTTTATCATACATTGTCCAAAAATAGAATTTTTCTCCTTATAAAACGCTATTTAGACTAAACTTCAATAAATTTGTACCCATTTCATAATACTTAAGTTGGAATTTTCAACATGAAAATGAAGATTTTTAGTAATGGTTATTATCCACTCTAAGAGTAAAAAATTTGAATTTTATGATTAATTTTGTAATTAACAATACTTTAGATACAGTTAATTGTGTCAAAGTTTTATAAGGAAGAACGATAGATACAAATTACTTAAAAATAGGAGTAAAAGTGGGGTTAAGCGTAAAAAAAAACAACAACAACAAATCAAAATATTAAAAGAAACGCCAAATTATTTTAAAAGAGCCTAAAACAAAAACTCTTTAGCATAGATTTGTTCAATATCTTAAGTATTTTAGGGTTTAAGTGTCTATCGAAAAATTTAGTCTAAATAACGGTTTATCTATGAAAAAAGTATCTATTAAAAGTAATGTCGATTAACCATACTGTCAAAGGAATAACTCGACACAAGTATGCGTTGAGTAGGATAGTATCCATGACAAAACTAGAATTATATATAACATAAATATATATGCTCTATTTTTCTCCAACATTTTCCGTGCAGATGCTGAAGAAATACGTATTATTATACTTATAGGGACCATTAAAGATGGAATAATTTCTAATATAGGAACCTATAAGTCTTCGGGCAGATGTCACGA